GTTCTTCATAAATTTCTTTTAATAAACCATCTTTAGATACATTTTCTTTAAGTTTGCTTTCTTTAATTTCACTTTCTTTAGATTTATTTTTTCATTTAAAAATTCATTTTCATCTAATGTGTTTGTAAATTACATTTAAGTTATGAAAACTGTTTATTAATTATATTCATCTGAAAGAAATAAAAAAAAATGTTTATAATATTTTTTTAAAAAAATAAAGCGAAAATTCAAAATAATAAATGATAGTCTAATTTATTGATCAAATAATTGATAATAATCTAATTTATTATTAAACAAATCATATGATATGAGAGGAGGATATATATATATCTATAGATATAGCTATAATATTCTGTTATAAATATTTATAATAATTATAAATTTAAATATATTTATCTGATCTAATTAATGATATACAATTTGGTTTTATTTTTCAATAAAATATAATTTCATTTGTATTAAAAATATTATTTAGTAAATAGTTTATAATAATACTTTATAGATTTTTATATATATCATCTAATGTGTTTAAAGTAACATTTGCAGATTTTCTATATTTAGATAATATTCAAATTTATGATATTTTTAAACTTACTACCAATGTTTTTAATTTTGTTTTATATTATAATATTACAAAATTATGCTTTTTATAGATATTAATTTCTATTGCTTTTTTAATTTAAAAGATTAAAACTTATTTAATTTGTAAAAATTTACTTTAATTTATCTTTTAAAGTAAAACTTTATAAGAATCTGATTTTATTCTTACTACTTTCTTTTTCTTTTAAGATAATACATTTTATTCTTTCTAATATATTATATTTTAAATAAATTTCTTATTTTTAAATCTTAGATTTTATAAACAAATTTCATTTTTTAAATATATTAAAAAAATTCTAATTCTTTTTATTTAAAGGATTTTTCTTTATCTTTTTTCTTTTAGAATTTTAAATAAATATTTATTAAAAAAATTTATTTAATCAAGTATTATTTTATTATACTCTATAATATATCACTGATTCATTATACATAGTAGTAAATTTTATTAGAAAAATTCAGTTTATAAAATTATATAACTATATAAATTTAGTATTATTCATATAATTCACAATAATATAAAATTCAGAATAGAGCACTTTAATTATAATATAAAAACTTTTAAAATCATAATAAGTGGTTGCTTAGTAGAATTAAAAATAATTTGCTTATTAATCTTAATAAACTTTAAAATTTTTATCTAACCTCTATATATATTGTTTGAGTCCTATTCTAATAATAAAATTTTATAACTTATAAGAATTCTTGGAAATATATTTTATATGAATAAATTTTTAGGATGAAATTAGGGTAATAGAATAAACACTAAATACATTTTAAGGAGGATATAATACCTAGGAATTTGTTAACTCTCTAAAAAATCAAATTTTCTGTTCTGAAAAGTTTAAAAAAGATATGTTTTATATTTAAAGAGAATATAAAAAGTATTTACTTGGTAGACTTAACACTTTATAAATTTAAAATCATAATGATCATTATCTCAATAATCACACCCAAATTTATATTACATGACCAAATTTTGCTTATGCCTCTTTATAATTGTTGAATAAAAAGGATTATAAAAATTAATTTAATAAGCTATCTGAGGCTCAAATAAACATAAGAAACATCTATCATTAACCAAATTGAATATGCTAGTCTCAATTTTATTATTTTTGATAGCGGTTTAATCAAAAATCTTGAAATTATTGAAGGTTTAAATTCAGATGTTGACACTTTACAGTTAAAAAGTTCATAATTTTTTCCATCACAAAATTTATAAAAATATAATATGGACATTTTATTTCTTGTTGTGAGAAATTTTAAAATTTAGTCATTCTGCAATCTTCGGCAATATATTAACAATAAACTCAAATTATAAATAATCAATTAAATCAGAATTTGCCGCAATATGCTGCAGTTTTTTATTTTTGTGTAAATATAAAAGTTAATAACAAAATAATATTTAAAATATCTAATTACTAGTTTTTGGCCAATCAGAAAGTTCGAAAAATTACATCTTGTCATACAAGAAATTAAAAATAAAATAAGAATAGACGAAGCATTATTTATCTATAGCTCCCTTTTAATTCCGCACTATTATTTCATCTTAAATTTATGTCTAGAGAACACAAAGAAACTCTAATGACGGAATGAACTTTATTGACATGACGTATATGTTGACGGATAGAGTTCTTCGACAAAATTTAGGAGATACGAAACAATCTTGTTGCGTTGAAAGTTCGGACTGATCGCAAAAAATAATAGTAATGTTATTCAATTGGATACAGTCACAATCTCGGACAAGTCTTTAGTGACAACAAGCCATAATTATAGTAGTTTGCCTGATAGTTACCAGAGTTCAAAGTGAAATTAAAGGTATTGCAGCCGGATCTGTTCTAGTACTGGGTTTACTACACTGTGGTATGCAAAGGAAAAAGCTCTTATAAACGGGATCGGAAAGTGCCGTCACATCTCACATCTCCAGATCGTTAGTGACGGAGCTAATGGGTAAAGCAAATAAGTATTCGTAGTACTTGTCTTTTATCCCCATCGATTTTATCTAAAAAAAAATAATAAATAAATAAATTGAATAGAGCAATTATCTTTTTATTTTCTTTGAGAAATATTCTTGTTAAAGATTTAATTGTATGTTTATTTCTATCCTCATGTAAGATTAATCCGTCGACTATAAAATAAAGTCAATAAATTTCCGTTGTGAATTTTAACAGATTTTCATAAAGATGATACCTTCGGGGAGCTGGGATTTACGGAAAATTAATTCCGTTGAAAAAGTTGTTTTCAAATGTGCTAGTTATCGCTTGCGGTAGAGTTATTTGAGAGATTCTATTAAGAGTGTCAACGTTATTTGTCATGCGAAGTTGCGATGTTCGTCTTCGGTTTATACCATTTACGCTATTTGCTAAAGTTATAAATTGTTGTCTTTGAAAAGTTGATAAATGATGATGCCATATACGATTTGTTGCTAGATCAATTATATATCGACCATACACATGTAATCGATTTGCTTCGTATTTTATGTTTTGTTTCAATAAATCCATTCCCGTTAATATTCGAATTCTACTACGGTTTCTTACTTGAGCCGCAAGTAATTGTGCAGCATTATTATGATGAGGAGGAATCAAAAGGTTGTTCAAATTCATGTGAATTAAAAGGTGATTTAGTATTGAACGAATAGAACGGTGGTGATATATTTGGTACATTTTAGAAATGAAAATTTCTTTTTATTTTATATATCGTAACGTTCGTGAAATTTTGGATTATTATATATACGAATAATTAGTCAATTATTATTATTATGGTTCGATACTTTAATTAAGAAAATTCCCTAAACAAGAATGATCGATTTCACACGTACATCTAATAGACGTAAAGTTGCATCTTGTGATTGAATGGAATAAATTTTAAATGGATCTTTTTTTTTATTTTCTTTGATATCTGAAATTTTAGATTTAGAAATTTCATTTTATGCAAGAAAACAATTCTTGAATTGATGCCGCAAAATCTTAATATTGTTTTGTTTACAAAAATGATAAACAAAAATATGTATCCAAAAGAGTCTTTATTTTCTTCCCTTATGAAGCAATCTTACTTTAATTTTTTATATTTAATTCACCATAACACAACAAATAACGAAGCACAATTATCAATGTTAGAACTATTTATAGAACACATACTTATGGGCGCTTTTCAGGGGATCTTGAATATGTTGTTTAAAATTAAAAATAATTTCCAGATTTAGCATTAACGCAAAATACCTCCATAACATTCGGTTATAAAAATTTGATCTCCTTGTTCAAACAAATATCCTATCAATATTGCTAATGCAATATAATGATTTTCATTGTGGAAGTATATGAAACATTTTTAATGCCCGTTATGCATAATATAGCAGATTATGACAAAATTTTGCATTTTGTATAGTGTTGTAACGGTGCGTAAGCTATTAAAATCGAGTCACAGACAGTGATTTTTGATAGCAACTTTATCTAGTGTAAAAGAAAACACACTATAATTCTTGCGGCAAATAATTGTCAAATTCGAAGAAATCACAGGTTTAAAAATATATAGTTTTTTTCTATTATCAATTACCTTTACATGAAAATAATTCGTATGTTATTGAGCGAGACTATATCGGTCGAAGATCGATATTTTAACACCACTTTCATAACATAAAACAATTTATACAATGAATTGAAAATTTATCAATGCAGTAATACTAAAAACAATTTTTTTTTTTCCATCACTGGACAAGGGAGTCAAACACTACACAAAATCAGACAACAACCCCATCGTGTTTGAGGATGATGATGACCGGTAAGTCGTGCGACTGCAAATCAACATTATCGCATTGCGCCACATATCTAAATTTTATATTCTTCGTCCATAAGGGCTTTATTTTTTTTACTACATTGTCATGACAGTCATGTGATCGAGATGGAATTGCTACGATATGTTGTCAACGCAATATATGATGAAAAATTCTCGTACCCGGAAATGCTTTTGTTTTTATTGGTCAAATTTTCAACAATATCTAATCGAATTTATCTAGAGGCACGGCGTATGGTGACTTGCAAAATCTCCGTAGTGTATGTATATTTTTCTTGACTTACGCATTGTTTTTCCACTCAACCCTAATATCTGAAAAATTATTACCTCACCATTGACAAAATGATTGTCGTCTGACCATCTGTTGACTGCATAAATTTTTCTCCAAAACACAGCGCTTACCTTTTTAGTATGTAAATGAATATGACTTTCTCATACACAAATTGGATAAAATACATCAAGCGAATTTTTTAATGTGCGAACTGCTTTTTCCTCCATTGAAACCTTCGCTATTAAAAAAACTCAAATATTATTTCGTCGTACAATTTTACAGAATTAAAACTAATAAAAGGAGTGTACCTATTATTTATCATCAACCACTTTTCATCGCAATTATGGCAGTTGTTCTTCCAATTGCATCAATTACTGCCGGCGTTCTTCAAAGAGTCCTAGATGTATAAATTAATTTCTTTATGTTTTGTAATCAGAGATATATATAATCATATATTGAAAGTTCTTTTTGCATTAAAATGTATTGGTTCAGTTCAGAGAAAAACCGTCATTACTATTAAAAATCATTCCAAACAAATCCTTGATCAACATAATTTATACTTTGTATCTGGAACATCTAATTGGGGGCTTCCCGGTCCGGTTTCAAGTGATGAAGGTTTGATATGGGGTTCTAGCAAGACTGCTGGACCTGTAGCTACGGGAGCTGTAGGTATTTTTGTATACCACATCAGAGATCAAAAGCAATCTTTAGTCTTTCTGTGGAGTGTCCCGTTTGATTACAACCTTTACGATAATTGGTGGGACTTAAAAATTTATGATGGTTTTATTGAGGCTGATTATGGTAATATTATAAATTTGTTTTTTGTTACCAAAATCTTCGTCATCAAAAGATTTAACTTATGTTATTAATTAAGATTTATACAAGGAAATGTACTACGGCTCACCACATAAAGGAGACAGTCTGACTTACAAAGGAAACTTGAATTTTGGTTGGCGTTATCAGGGATCGATGGGACACTCTGGAACACCTTTTATCGATGTTAATATCTACAAGGATTGAAATATTATAGAAAAATAGAATTTGTAAATTTAAAAAGGTTTTTTCTTAACTAGATTTATCCTACTACTAGTTCGAAACCTGCTACCCTATCTTGTATGTTTTTTAATCAAAATGTACGTTTATAGGACTTAATAAATAAGAAAAATTAATATTGTAGTTCGCCCTCTTAAAGCAAAGCAATTTGATCTTATCTTCCACGTATGCAGTATCGAGCAACTGAAATTTGAACTGCAAATCAAAGATAAATCGTTTACTGCGCCACATTATTGCGTGTCCAGATTTTTCAATAGTTCGTGATTTTTTAACCAGTTTTTGCCTGACACAAATCGAAACCTAATGCATGAAAGTATCATTTTTATATCATTAATTATCTTTGTTATAATTAGAGCTGCGACCCGTCAGAATTTCAGAATCCGGTTATACCCAAATAAAAAAAAAGGTTACCCGCGGGTATTACCCATTTATACCCGGTTAGTATTTATCATATATAATCCAAGTAATAGGTATGTAAAATTTTAAACGCTTTTATTATTATACATAAAGATTTTAATGACAACATTAACACTAAACTTTATTGTACTAGGGTGCTTGCCTTATTTATATGAGATCTCTATTATTAAAATTTCTATAGCTGATAGTAACCTCGCATGATTTTCTTGTTTTGTAATGATAGAGCGTACTAAATAAAAGTTGAACCTTTATCAAATGACCAAGACAAGAAGATAGATATTTTTAATTTAAATTGATTCTTGGAAATTTAATTATTAATTATTAATCGAAATGCTTGTTATTTTTGGAATAATTTAATTTTTATTAATAATAACGCGGCTGTTCAGCCTCACCAGTTTCTAGCAAACCAGCCAAGAAACCAAACACTACCCAGACAAAAGAACTGGAACAGTCCTCAAGTGCTCCTATTATTACAACAACTCCAGTATGATGCACAATTATAATATGATGCTTAAATTATTATTTTGACTTTTTGTTTTAATACAAATTAGAATTTCGATCAAGAATAGTTCTTATTGTATTATTTCAAGCATAAGTATAGAATTTCATAAGATATCAAATCAAATAGATAAATTATTTAAAATTTATTTATAAAGGGAAGTATTTTACCATTGTATAATTTTTCACCTTTTGAATCTTTAATAATTAAATTTTTACCTTTGAATCATTTAATTTTATATTTTGAATCTTTTTAAATTAAACAAATATGACTATTAGAATAATTTGGAAGAATAATAAAATAGATTTATTAGTTGAGGAAAGAAGAAGAAGAAATGAAAAGTATTATATCAGATACAGAAGTAACAAAAAAAGATTCTGGCAGAGTGTAGCCTGATAAATAAGTTGCAGATATCATATAACATATTCTGTTTACTAATGTGAGCTGAAGTAGAGAAATTTAGAGAAAATTTGCGATTATTGAATTAGAGCAAGAAGAGGTGAAAGGTAGACCTATATAGCAAAAAGATTTACAAACTCTTCAGAACTCAATTTTGAGATAAGCCAGATAATAATTAAAAACATTTAATTGATTTTTTAGATTTATATTAAAAATATTTACTTTTTTAAATTGAGACATACTCAAAGGAAAAATTATAATTTGCCTACTATAATGCAAGCCTGTAATATATAAAATACAAGATAAAATTGAAATATATCTACCAGGTAATAATTATAAAAAATTTTTCATTTCATTTTTATTTTTTTAAAATTTTGTTTTCATTTCATTTTCTTAATTTTATTTTCTTATTTTATTTTATTTTCTTAATTTATTTTTTAATTTTATTTTATTCTCTTTTGTTTTATTTTTTTTATTTTATTTTTTTAATTTCTTTTATTTTCTTTTTATTAAAAAAATGATAAATTAAATTTTTTAATTAAAATGTTATATACCATAGTGATCATAAGTATCTGATCTCTCATAATTCTTAAAGTTAATTAATAACATCCATTAAAATTCAAGTACAATACCAATATTGATCACATGTAAAATTATAAGCTTTATAACATATAAATCAAAAATTAGATGATTAATAAATTTTACATGTAAAATACTAATATTTTTTAATAAATTAAACAAAATAGTTATTTTTATATAAATTTCAATAATAACTGAAATGGAATTCAAAAATATAGCTACTTTATATCTATTGCAATAAAATTATAACATTTATTATATTTAAAAATATTATTTAAATAAAGAATTTAGTAATAAACAAAAGTTATAATATTTGTTAAAAAGTTCATATTATAGTGATTTTTTAGATTTGTGATTTGATAAATTAATTTTCTTTTAACAAAAATCTAATATTAATTTTATATATAATTTCTATAAAAGTGACCTTTTAGTTTGTATCTATAAATTTTTTAGAAAAGATAACTTAGAGTAAATTTGGCAAAAGGTTAATAAATATAAATATTATTCAAAAATTAAAAGGAAGAATATAGTATTATTTAAATTCTCTAATTATCTGTATAATCTGTCTAAAATTCTATAAAAATGTGTAATAATTCTTAAAAAATCTATATATTGAATTTAAGTGTTAAATAATAAAAAATGAAATTATTTATATAAAAAAAGATCAATTTTTTTTAAAATATAAAATTTACCAATCATCTAATTTCTAAATTATATATGATACAAATCTATAATTTTACAGATTATCAAGATTAGTATTGAACTTAAATTTAAAAAAAATTTTAATAGATATTATTAATTAATTTTAAGAATTATGAAGAGTCAGATACTTATGATTGCTACTATAATAATTAATAGATTATATATTAAAATAAAATGACTAGAATTTATAAAATAATATCTAAAAAAATTATATAATAATAAAATTATATTTATTATAATATTAATAATTTTTCTTATATGAAAGCCTTATTAATTTAAATATCAAATTTATTATATCAAGTTTTGACTGTATTTATATAACTTATAAAACTTAATTACTATTTAATAATCATAAAAAGATGAAATAAAATTTATTAGATTTATT